CATAATAGAAGAGTGCCTGGTGTTACAATCGAAAAAGGTTAATTTCGAGTGATTTGGAAATCAAAAAAGCAAATACAGAAACACCGAAGCAAAGCAGTTACCCCTACTTCCTGGTAACCAAGCTAGCCAAGTGCTCTGGACTAATTAAGAAAAGCAGTTCTGTCGTGTTTTAAATAAGAATTATTCTATCTCTGATCAAGGCTTAAATCGGTTCCAGTACTTTGGTCAACAGAACTGCCTTTTAAGAAACCTAAAAAAAAATGTTTTTAAGAAAAAATTCTTGGCCCGCAAAATTCATTCTCACTGGTGAGTGTAAGACAGACATCAAACGGCGTAACAATAGTTCTATGAGCTCGAATAAACAGCTACAATGTAACTCTTGCGGGCCAACATCTCTAGCCATTACACAGCTTCAACGCAAACAACTCACTGGGCAACAACAGCGTAGCCAGGCTTTTTATGCGGTTTTTTTGCAGCTAAGCAATGCAGAAAACGCATATTGACGAGGGGTTGTTTGTGTGTGTGTGTGTCTGTGTGTCTGTGCGTCTGTGTGTGCATCTGTCACGTTTTTTCATCTCAAGACCTACAAAGCTACAGGGCTGAAACTTTGGGAACTTAATCTACATGCACGTACAGGCCCCAATCCCAATCTACATGCACGTACGGGCCTCAATCCCCAAAACGGGCGCCATTACCCGCGTGGTGCCCACGTAAAAGTCCGCCAAAGTTTTTTACGAGTAAGCTGCTAGCTCGAGAACCAAAAGTGCTTGGGGGCTGAAATTTTAAGGGGATGTTCCCCGTTGAAATAGGTATTAATGAACTCAAACCCAGCCCCCGGGTAAGTGTGGTACCCGCGTACAAGCCCGCCAAATTTTTTTCGGGTAAGTTCATAACTCGGGAATCTGAGAAGCCAGAATGCTGAAATGTTAAGGCAATGTTCTCCGTCCAAGTAGGTATTAATGAGCTTAAATCCAACCCCCGGATATACATGGTACTCACGCGCGGGCCCGTGAAAGTTCTCTTCCAGTAAGTTGCTAACTCAGGAGCCAGGAAAGCTAGAAAGCTGACATTTTAAGGGGATGTTTCCTGACACTTCTGACCGCTAATCTTAATTTGTTTAGCTAGAAGCATTTGCCGAAAAAACCGGTGCCAGTAGCGACAAAAACTGCGGGGAACTATGCAAAAAAGGCATCTTCGCACGGGCAACCCTTGCGTTGGCCAGTTATTTTGTTTTTAAGTGGACATTTGATAGCTTAATGCGGTACAGATGACTGCAGCAATTTCTTGAAAAACCATACTAGCAAAGGTTTTTTTTTTTCAAATTTACCAACTCATTAATTGACAATTTCTTGAGGTAATTGCCAAACTGCGCACAATACGATGAGCTGGAGAAATATTCAGCGAGCGATTTATCCTGCATGAAAAGCTCGGATCGGTCAAACGGCTTCTGAGGACGGAGAGGTCCTTGAGGGGAAGGGGCCGGAAATAGATAACTGCTGAAATGTTATACAACCTGAGGGAAAAAAACCTGCTGCTCAGCATCCGGAAACACAATGAGTGTGCCTTCCTCTGGCAATTACTGGAACTAGGCTTGGCTCAGCCGAGTTTGGAGGCGAGTTATGATGGGATGGAAAGGTAGAGGGAGGGACAGGGTTGAGAGCTGGAGGTGATGGTTTGAGTCTCGGGGGTCGCGATGGTGGGGGTAGTGTCACTGACAGGAGGGGATCTGAGACCTCCGTTGTAGGTGATACATTAGGAGTAAGATCTGCTGGGGGAAGTGGGCCAATGCGAATTTTTTATGCTAAGCATGAAACTCTGTGCTGACGGGAAATCAGCAATCTTGAATGCGATTCCTCGAATCCAATCTAGATGAGAACTCGCTACCGCTACTTTCGCAGTTCGAACCCGAACCCAAAAACGACTGCGTATGGCGCGGCCAAGTCAAGCTGGTTTTCGTAGTAGCTGCGATAGTTCGTGGTGTTGCAGTTGTACGTTCTCCTGATAGGAGAGAGGGGGAGAGGAGGAGGGGGGAAAGGGAAATGTTCACTTGTGTGGTAGCTGTGTATGCGCTGCTTTGCTGGGGGATTCGGGGGAGTTGGCTTGTCGAATCGATGCTAGCTGTGCTTTCAGGAAGTGCGGGACGGGAGGAATAGTGGCGTACGATGAAGATCGTCGTGACGGTGGCACTGCTAGCGCTGGGCGTCGACGTGGCGCTGGGGAGCAGTGCTGGTGCGTGGTGGATGGATGTGAGCTTCCGAGTGAACAAACTCAACTTCATCTGGTCCAAAGCAGTCCATCATTTGGCCGATAAGGCTCTCATCAAGCGTCTCAAGGTGGTGCATTTGCAGAACAGTCTCTGTGTCGCTTTTCTTGCTTGGCGGCTCTCGGCGTTGCTGAAGAGTGGCGGATTGTATATGGCACTGCATACTGTTGCATGTCGTAATTTTATACTTTCGGAGTTGTTACTGTGAGATTTGCATGTATTTTCAGGGTGAACTCGACAAATTCGATGCGCTTTATTTGTCAGCCAAGTCGAGGAGCATGAAGAATGGTGAGCTGGCCATGGAGCAGGTGGACAACAAGCTGGAACAGCTCCTCCAGAAGTACCACTTGGACTCAACACTCACTGCTTATAATAAAGTTAGGCGTTTCTTGCCCATGATTCTTGTGATTTTGCGCCCTTCAGACTTGTTTGGAGCGCAGTCGTCCTGTTGCATTATATTACCGGAAGGCAGATGAACTTGGGGCGTGAGATGAGTGTCAACAGCACTGACCTGCAGGCAAGGCTGTCAAAACAACCGGTGAAGGAATTGATTTTACAATTCGTGAATATGTAAGAACTTTTAAAGTCACTAAGCAGACACTAGAATTAGCCCATCACTGCCAGAACGCATAATTTAAGGGAGAAAAAATAAATAAATAAAAAATTACAGAAGTATAAATGGCGGAATGAGGAGGAAATGAAAAAAGAGAACTTGGTACTTCCGACCGAAAAATTCGATGACCCGAAATTGCAGAAACTTTGGCATGTTGCTAAGAATTCGCACTTTTCCGAGGCGGCGTTGAAAGGTTACTTTTTTCACTGTGAATAGATTAGCTTGTTTGACTTACAAGCGAGGCATTTCATCCTCAACTTATTCCTCCCCTTGTTCCAGCTCTTCGCTGATGAGATTTTACAATGCTTACTGTGACGGATAGCAGTGCCTAGTGAATTTTCGTGATTTCACACGCATAAGCTCAGAAGATGGAAGAGGGAGGGGGATTTGTGGTTGCGCTATCTCTGTCCGTGTGATTCTTGAAAAACTGCTAAGATGATGATGTGTGTATGAAGGAAAAAATACGAAAGTCTAAGTAAAGGAACTGCACACTGAGGACAAAGGAGCGCAGAAATTGGCCAAAAAGAGTAGCAAAATTTGGGGAGAA